AGCAGCAGCAACGCAGCCGGGAGACGAGGCGCCGACCGAAGCAGCCACGAGGGGCGGCCGCGGCGGCAGGGCCTGGCCGAGGAGTGGTGTGGGGGGGCCGGAATAAACGGCCGCTAGGGGCGGCGGCGGCGGCGGCAACGGCGGCGCGGTAGGGAAAAGCCTCCGGCTGGAACTGCGTTGCCCCACGGTCCTTTCCATGGACAGCGGGCTGGAATTATGAGCCGGCTGGAGTTGCTGGCGGCCGGGACTTGCCCTCCCCCGAAGGGTTTTCTCCTCGCTCTGCGCCTCGGGGCGCCCGCGGGGCTCCGCTCGCCTCGCCGCCGCTACTCCAGCAGGCGCCGCCGTCCCGTTTCTCGGGAGGCGCTAGGGCCCCCTCGGGGCCAGGCGACCCCCGCTCTCCCCGCAAGCGAGGAACACCCGCGGATAGCGTAGCCCCGACTCCCTCCTCGGCCACCCCCGTCCTTCCTTCCCATCCTTTCCTCCCCCCTCCCCCTCCGTCTCGCTTTCTGGATGTCGAGCGAGACCCTCCGCCGTGCTTGTCCCCGGAGAAGCCCCCTTCCCCTCTTCCCAAGCCTCCCACGCCCCCCGGCCGCTACTGCCGCCCCCTCCCGCGCTCTCCTCCACGCCGCCGCCGAGCAGGTGAGAGGCTGGTGCGTGGCCGGGTGAGGAGGGGAGGGTTGGTCGCCGCTCCTCTCGCCTCGATCCCCCCCCGCCTTCACGGGCGACGGATCCCCCTCCCCTCCCCTCTCTCCGCCACCCCTCCCCTGCCGGGCATTAATTAAGCTGCCCATTGATGAAAGGGTATTGATTTGTATGTATTTCACTCAGCGCCGTTGGCGGCGGCGGCGGCGGCGGCGGCGCCTGCTGCTTGTTCGGCGGCCTCCGCCTGAGTTCGCCCAGTATTTCCCAATTTAGAGTGTTTGTCGCCGAAGCTCCCTCGACCAAAGATGTCGGCTCCTCTTGGGCCCCGAGGCGGCCCTGCTCCCCCTCCGCCTCCGCCGCCTCCGCCCGAGATGCCCGACCTCAGCCACCTCACGGAGGAAGAGAGGAAGATCATCCAAGCCGTCATGGACCGCCAGAAGAAGGAAGAAGAGAAGGAGCAGTCCGTGCTGAAGTAAGCGCTACTTTTCTCTTCCCCACCCCAGTACCCCCGCCGTCCCCACCCCACCCTCCCAAATTCTGGCTCCCCATCCCGGGAGGGGAAGGCTGCCCGGGCCTCCACCCCACGGACGGGGTCTGCTTTCGGGGAGGGCTGCTAGCCTAGCGGCGGGCATCGGGCGGGCAGGAAGGCCTTGGTAGGATCGCCCGGGAGCGGCGCAGGAGGCTGCCCGGCCGTGTCTTGGCTCCCGGCTGTGGCTGCCGCTGGCCCCGTCCACCCTAGCCGGAGGTGGGAAGGCAGAGAGCCGAGAGTTCCCTCCCTCCCGGCTTTTCAGGCTCCTATTCGCCGTCCAGGCGTGGAGCGGGGCCAGGCACCCAACATGGCCGCACAGGTGCTGTTGTCACTCGCTCCCTGCGAAGCGGATGGTCTCGGCAGCAGGAAGTGGCGGCGGCCGCATGGCGGGTCTAAAGGGGTGTCTCACCCCAGCGGGGCTTTAGACAGTCGAGTCTGGCGGCTGCTCCTTTCGCCGCCTTTTCTCGCCTGCCTCAGGCAGCTGGCCACGGGCATCGCTGTCCCTCCGAAGCCCAGGTTCTCTCTGCCGCCGGTCTTGGGGTGGGCTCGGAGAAGCCGCCATCTTCCCCCAAATAATGTGTAGCTCCCCCACCCCTTCTACCTGCCTCTTGCTTCCCAGGCGGCGCACCTTGTCTCTGCACCTGTGGGTCCCGTTCAGTCGTGGGCTAATAGTTGCTTAGCGAGAGCTCCGCTTCAGGCTCTTTCAGCACCAGGAGCTGTCCAGGCAGGGTTAAGGATACCGGCTTTCTGTCCTATTGCCTATGTGCTTCTTCCTCGTTTATCTTCTTGCTCCCTTCCTCTGGCACAGTCTATCAGCATTGGTCTATTTTAGAATGGTCTGAAGATTTATTTTATATGTATGTATGTATGTATGTATGTATGTATGTATGTATGTATGTATGTATGTATGTATGTATGTATGTATGTATACACACACACACACACATATATATAGTTTTCGTAGATTATCATGGGTGTAGGTATATATATAATCTTCACACACACACACACACACACACACACACACACACACACACACACACACACACACATGCACACACACATAGTGTGTGTGTGTGTTGTGGATAATGAAATTTCCTGTCTGATTAAATACTTTAGTGATGGACAATAAATGCATGGAGTTCATCCCTGTACATTGGATCACCTGAAGTGTTTTTGCCTGTTAATATTTTCTTGGTAAGCAGAGTTCAGAGTTGCCTGTCTTTGCTTATATTCTTCAAAGACAATGTTATAAAAGATGGGGGGGGAACCACATTTTTTTTGTTTAACAGCATAGGGCCTTTTGAAAACTAAAGGAGATCAGAATAAATATGTTAAAGTTTAAATATCTCTAAAAATATTCAGATCAATCAGTTATATTAGGCCATTTTTTTTGTTGAACAACTGATTCAAATTTGGAATTGATAGCTCTTTGTGGGCTTAGTTGATGACTTGTGTTCGAATTAGTGTATTGTGAACAATACTGGGGTTGACAAAAAATTACTCTGCTTAGATTATTTTTATCTTCAGTCGAGAGAGAGGTAAAAGTCATTACTGTATTGTTAAGTTTAAAAATACAAAAAAATAAACTTATTTGTCCATTAAAGGGAAGCCACTGCAACATGCACACACCCACACACCATACCCATACCCATACCATACCCATACATGCTAGTCCAACTCTAGTTAATAATTTACAGTAACTTCTAAAAGAACAATTTGAATTCTCTATTAATGCTAAATGACTTCGTAAAGATTAATAATGTAGTTTTGTTTTTAAATTATGTGACATTCTAAATGATTAATAACAATTAACATTTGTAAAAATATTTCTAATTATTATTCTAATGACTGCTTAACAATAGTCTTTGGGATTAAAATGTAATTTTGATTTAGAATATGTTGTTTCTACAGACAGCGAATACACCTATTTGGTTTTAAAAGTAAAATGGTCATAATCAAATGATGTAGCTTCAAATTAATGCAGAATCATTGACCAATGTTTTTTGAAAGGAAGGTTCAAATAGATATAAAAAGTATTTAAGCAGAAATATATTTTACAACTCCATTGATAGTGTTTCACTTTATGATAGAGCTTATGATAATAAGGCTTGTTCATTAACTGGAATCCACAAGTGTCAGTCCTTTTTTTTGAATAGCTAACATATGCTATGCAGTCACATAACTAACACATGAAAAAGATCTTTGAGAAAGCCAAACTGACTGATCAGAACTTTTAACATATTTTAAATAAAACATTGAAAGATTATTTATAAGTACTTCATCTTTTAAAAATGAAGTAACTTATCAAATTTGGAAGATTGACAATTAGACTACTGTAGCAATGACTGATAAGAAAAAGAAGAGAAAAATCATGTGAGAAAGAGATATGAAGCTATTTGTTATAAGAGTTGGTCTCATCTCTGCTATAACACCAACCTACCCCCAACGAAAAGGAAAATTTTCAACTGTGCCCTTTGAATGACATCAACATGTCATTGGATGGCCTCATACAGTCCTTGAAAAGATTGGAAGGCTGATTTGTGACTACAGACATCTCAAATATTGCCCATTGTATCTTTTCTGTTAAGTCACAGAAATAGTTTCACATATTCCTTGTGAGGATAATGGAAATTCCTAACATTGTTTGCACATATTTTCTCTGTAAAACTACATACTACACATGTTGCACATGTAATGCTGGTATACTAACACACGTTATGATCTCTCTCAGACATATTGATTATTTGGACAACCTTCTAACCTAGTGGAACTATGAGTATTATTCTTAATGATATGGCTCTTTAAAAGCAGAGATACTTCCTTTCTACCTCTTATTCTATTATTGCTTTTCAATATTATTTAAAGATACATTTTCTGAATTAATTGCTAGAAGATTGGTATTTAAATTCTTTTAAATTTTTCTCTAACAATAATTGTCAAAAATACTGAATTTCACTGTTTAAAGATTTAATACTGTTTTTTTTCCTTTTTTCATCAATAATTGCAAAAATAATTTTCAAATCTAATAACTTGTTTCCTATTAAAGTATGAAGTAACTTCCAGATAATGTTTTTGTATCTTAAGTCTTTATTAAAAATATTAAAAACAGTGGTTTAAAAAAGTGTAACCATATTCTCCAATGAAATTAAAACATCTCTACACCAAAGGTTAATGTATAAGAAGTAAGGAAGATGACCTTGACAAAAATATGCAACTGTCATTACCTAAGCAAAGGGAACTGAAACATTTTTTAAACCCTGGGAAACAAAAATAATATTTGGAAGTGGCTCAACTCAGTCACTGATTCATTGGGGCATAAGTAGAGGTGGGGATAGAGAAGTACAACACAATGAAATTTGCAAAATTGTGTTATTTATAGTCATGCTGAATAATTGTAGATCTAGGCTTCCTGTCGTATTGATTTCTTGATTTGGTCTACCTAGTGGGGTTGACAGTTAATTTTCATATTCAAAAAAGTAGTTGACATTGAAAGCATTCTTAACAAAAGTTTGTGTTTTAAAGAATAAATTATACAATGTTTTATATAAATGATGAATGGAAACCAGCTGGATAATTAAGTCTGCTTTTTTCCTGTATACTTTCTGTTTTATTCAGATTTTCTAATGAGTATCACTATGGTACTGAAGTGTTTATCAGAAGAGCATTCAATAATGTCACTGGCATCTGTCACATTATTCCCCCTTCTTTTTCTCTCTTTCCGAGAGCAAAATCATGCATATATAATTTATATGATTATATATATATATATATATATATATATATNAATATATTTATATGTTTTAAGATTATGATTTTTTCCCTCTAGCTTACTCCCCGAGAGAGAGCTGCTATTAACTATAATCAGAAATTGAAAGAAAAATTCCAGCATCATCCCCAGATCAAGCGCATAAATCGCCATCGTCACTTACCAAAGATGATCTATAGTCAAGCCAAAGAGCTACGCATCATGAAAGAAGCTCGTCGGCGAAAGTATGTTTTATTTAATTTTTTAAAATTAAATGTATTCTATTATTCTTTCCATTTGTCTATTTACTTTTTGAATGGACTGTGGAATTCTCTAGAGAGACTTTGGAGTCTTTTCTAGTTGATTATAAGACTAATTGACAGTAACATGCTTTGATTTATTAGATGTGTTTCTAAAGTATAGGATGCTGGATTGGACAATACATTGTTTCCTTTCCGAGTTTAATTTCATAATATGTCTTTGCTGAAATAATTAGTTGGAGTATCTAAGTCAATAGGATAGAAATAATTAGCTTGGCTATGTTGAGGGAATTAGACAATGGATAATGTAGAGGAATAGGATAAGAGTCATTACTGGAATGTCCTGGAAGACCTATAGGCTATTATGAGAGACAGATTGGGATGGTCAGCACTTGTCAATGCAATCATCAGAATTGAAATCTGTTTTGATGGTGTCTGTGTAAGTATCTAAAAGCTAACAGTCTCCCAATAGAACTTCTGTTTTTCTTTAGGCTACCCAATCAGGTTCATCCTATTAATTAGAGGTGGGAAGGACAGCAAAACGGAGAATGCACTCCTTGAGCTCTTGTTCCGATACAACAGAAATTACTGCTGTTTAGATAGCAGTAGATGCCATGCCATCTTTTTTATTATCTGAATAGAATTCATCTGTTAATTTAATCATCTTTTGTACAAATGGGAGATGATCTTATCTTTGAACAAGATCTATATTAGCCCAGTGCACAGCATGTACAGGAGAATATTGACTGTATATTCCAAATTTTATTTTAATTTTAACTGAAGTGGCCCTGAAGGAGTGTCTCAAAATTTATTTCTTTTCCAGGATCATAATCCAGTACCTAATATATTAATTGTATTCCAAATATAATCTTACATTCTGATATATGAATATTGGTTATGTAGCAGTAATTTTATTTTATAAGCAATGAAATATATAAATACATTTTAATGTCTCTTTCCAGGGAACTGAACCGTCGTAAACATAGCAAGCCTGGATCTATACCACTTGTGTCAGAAAAGCAGAAACACATTATGGCTGTAGTAAAATAAACATATAAAATTACTATGGGCATGATTTATATGTGAGATATATTTCTTTTTTACAATATATAATTAAAACTCTTGCTTTTTGATATTATGAGAATAATAAATTGAGACTGTAGTTTCTATAGTGTGGCTAATTGTGGTATCTTTATAGTATTTATTTGCTGCATTGCTTGTAAAGAGCAAGAGTGAAAGTATCTTGAAAAGTACATGCAAATATTGCATACTAGAGGAGACGCAACTAACTCAGAATGTTGCAATAGGTTCTCTAAAATGTTAAGTTGTAGTGTCTTAAAAGAATGTGAATAAAAGTATTCTTAGATTGGCAAATTTGCTTCCCAAATATTTGGATACCATTTAATTTAAAAAAAAACGTCAAATCCCCTTTCTATTGTAAACTATGTCTATTGTAAGTATGTATCCTAATTCAGCTATCACAAGTAGTCCCCAACTTATCACAACTGAGCCCAACATTTCTGTTGGTAAGCAAGACATTTGTTAAGTGAATTTGACCACATTTCACAACCATTCTTGCCACAGTTGCTAAGTGAATCACTGCAACTGTTAAGTTAGTTACATTGACTTGCTTGTCAGAAAGTTACAAAAGGTTACACATTTTTGCCCAAGACACTGCAACCATCATAAATACATGCCAGTTGCCAAACATCCGAATTTTGATCATATGATTCTGGGTATGATGCAATAGTCATAACTGTGAAAAACAACGTAAGTCACTTTTTTCAGTGTCATTGTAATTTTGAACAGTCATTAAATGAATGGTTGTAAGTTGAGGGCTATCTGTATTTTTATTTTGTGTATATGTAAATAAAACTTCATTGAATAGAAATATATACCTTCCTATATGTAAAATGGGAATAATTATATTTTGAATGTGATTATTGCCAATATTTTATTTCAACTGTTGATCCATATAGTTTGTTTATTACACAGTACTGAAATTAATAACACATTCTCTAAAGTTTAAGAGGTTAAGCAGGGTCATAATATTTTTATATTGCATTTTTATATATAACTGAATCAAATCATTCACCTAATATAGTAATGAAAATACTATATTCAGAGATTGGCATGCCATTCCTTTCTATAAATTCTATGATTCCAGCCTCAGTTATAAACTTTGCTCAAGCCTGAGATTTTCCTCAAAACTTTCTATACCTGGAGTTTGCTATCTAAAATCAAACAATTATTCTTTGAGCTAGCATGCAATTAAAGTTTTAAATAATTTGTCTTATATAAGAGACAGTATCACCATTTTCTTGCTTATCATCTGGAAAACAGCTGTTTCTTTGAACTTTAAATTTGTTATGGAAACTAGCAAATTATTTAATCCTATATTAACTGCATATTTTTATTTTTAATTTATTTTTATTAAACATTACTAAGATAAACTAAAATATAAAAAGTAAAAAGTAAAAAAACCAAATGCAAATAAGAATAGGAAAGAAACTTACATATATATTAAAATGATTAGATATTAAATTTTAATATCAATTTTATTTAAAATATTAATGTGTGTATTCCAAAACTTTTGTAAATATTATATTCTGTGACATCTGGAAACAAAAAGCTAAAATGTTATTAAACAATTCTGAAACAATTTGAAAAGCTTATAATACTTAATAGCAATTAATAGCATAGCAATAGCAATTAGGCTTATATACCGCTTCATAGGGCTTTCAGCCCTCTCTAAGCGGTTTACAGAGTCAGCATATTGCCCCCAACAACAATCCGGGTCCTCATTTTACCCACCTTGGAAGGATGGAAGGCAATATGCTGACTCTGTAAACCGCTTAGAGAGGGCTGAAAGCCCTATGAAGCGGTATATAAGCCTA